TAGAAATAGTCATACATAGTATGTGTCACTTTATGATTGGCTTGACTTGCTCAGCATATTGCCCTTTATGTCCATTCAAGTTTGTCAATAGTGTGTTCCTTTCTGTTGCTGATGAGCAATATTGCAGTTTTTCTAAATAATGTTGTTTTTAATATTTTATATATATTTTATGTTTTATTTGTTCTGGTTTGTTTTATTGTTGTTGCTTATATAAAAAGGTGTTTGTGGCTCTTGTTCGGGATGGCAACAGTTGTAAAATTCTGGAGTTCTGAAAACTACAGAGTGTAAATGTCTGGTGACATCTGAACTACCTGACCTTGTTCTTATTCCAGCTGAACTGAATTATTTACCCCCCTCCACCTGCAGACCATGGGACTGTCATTCCCTGAGTTTGACTGAAGCCTCCATAGGAAGCATCTATGTAGCTTCCTGGAGGAGGTGTTGTTGCCTTAGTTGTAAGTTATCAGCTTCGTATAGGTTGAATCAAAGATGTTCAACAGTAGATTCCCCTCCATGATCTCAAAATGTGGCCTGGATTTCAAGGCAGGATTGGCCCACGTGTCTGAATTCCCCTTGCTGTGAATGCTACACCTGCTCTTCTAACTCCCACTATTTTTAAAAAATATGTTTTTATAGATTTTTTAGAGAGAGAGAAACATCTATGCGAGAGAGAAATGGATCAGGCTGCCTCCTGCACACCCCCTACTGGAGGTTGAGCCCGCAACCTGGGCATGTGCCCTGACCAGGAATCGAACCGGGACCTCTCAGTCCATGGGATGACACTCAATCCACTGAGTTGCACCAGCCAGGCTTAACTCCCCACTATTTAGGGCTCACTGTATGGCAGGCATTGGAAATACAGACATGAACAAAACCATTTTTTTTTTTTACATTGAGGTTACATTCTAGAAAAAGGCATAAAGATGTAAATAAAATGTAATGCAGTGTCACATAGTGATAGATACTAAACACATACATAAGTAAACACATATAACATGATGTACCTTAAAATGACTGAGATGGACCAGGGATAGACAGTGATATGTAAGTTGGGGGAGGGGAGGCTGCCCCCCATGAGCACAGAATTCCTGAGCCATGTCTCAGTACATCCCGTGGCATAGAGGCAGTGTTCTCTAAGTCTGGGGTCAAACTTACCAAAGAGAAAAATAGCAGGGGTGAAGGACCCGAGGCAAGAATGTGCTTGGTGTATTCCTGGCAGAATCCTAGAACTCAGGAAATAAGGTAAAAATAGAGTTAGGTCAAGGCTTTCACAGTCAAATTCTTGGTACCTCACACAAGTTCCCAGGGAGTTTAAGACTAAATATCTAGAATTTGTTTATGTGGCAATCTACAAACATCACAAGCAAGTTTCACCTTTAACAGACTATTTTGTGTGTGTGTGTGTATGTGTGTGTGTGTGTAGGGCCAGTGTTTGCCATGTTGGAGTGGTATTTAGATCCCAACTCACAGATACTCCTCTCAGTTAATAGCACATGAAAAGCATAAATAATTGGAGGATAAGTTACTGACATAAATCTAAAGTAAATGCTTTAAGTAAGGATTTTAATGCTCTTAATTTAATGGAGAATCCACACCCTTCTCTCAACTCTAATAATATTTGTCTTACTTGGGGGCACAATTGCACTTTCTCCCATAAGATTTAATTTTTGAACTACTTGTATTATCTCACCCTGTAGACTAGAACTGCTCAAGGGTAAAGACTGAAACTTATATACCTTTGTATCACCTATAGTTAAATGCGATGCCTTGAATTTAGGAAATAGTTGGTGAGTGTCTATTAAACAGAACTTAATCTACTTCAGGGGTTTTGTTTGTTTGTTTAAAAGATTTTATAGAAAGAGGAGACACTCATGATGAGGTCAACGTGTGTAAAGGGGACCATGTGGACAATGTCTGGGAAGGGCTTGCACATATTAGTGAGTGTGTTAGAGGAGCGGGGAGGAGGAGGGTAGACCCAGAAGACAAGTAAGGCTACTTTGCAATTTTCCTGGCAACCCAGTCATGTTAAAGCACAGAAATCTAATTACAGAAACATTCTAATGATTATCAAAACAGGATTTGCCATGTATCTCTTTTCTCAGAATATCCCCTGGCCCTTTCAAAATGTTGATAGAAATTAATGTCATTTTGAAATGGAAACATTTGCCTCCACATTACCTTTGTCTGCTCTGTGAGTGCCTCAAGCACAACATGAGCTCTTGGAAAACAACCGAGACTGTTGAATTAACAAGGGTCGTATACATTAGTGTATGTCTGCACCCTACATTAGGAGAGGGAACTCAGAGCGGCAGAACAGGAATTCCTCTCACTGTAGCTTCTGTACTTTTCAGATGCTACAGACTTGAGTTATAAGTAATAGGGCATTATCTGAACCATTATAGAACCCTGAGTGTCTGGCCCTTCTGTCATTGTCTGTGAGTTAATGGTTCTGTGGACAGAGGGTTCCATGCTGCTTATGAGTTATTAGTTCTGTGGAGAGAGGGTTCTAAGTTGTCTATGAGTTACTGGTTCTGTAGACAGAGGGTTCCATGTTGTCTATGAGTTACGGGTTCTGTGGAGAGAGAGTTCTATGTTGCCTATGAGTTATTGGTTCTGTGAAGAGAGGGTTTCATGTTGTCTATGAGTTACTGGTTCTGTGGAGAGAGGGTTCCATGTTGTCTATGAGTTACGGGTTCTGTGGAGAGAGGGTTTCATGTTGTCTATGAGTTACTGGTTCTGTGGAGAGAGGGTTCCATGTTGTCTATGAGTTACTGGTTCTGTGGAGAGAGGGTTCCATGTTGTCTATGAGTTACGGGTTCTGTGGAGAGAGGGTTCCATGTTGTCTATGAGTTACTGGTTCTGTGGACAGAGGGTTTCCTGTTGTCTATGAGTTACGGGTTCTGTGGAGAGAGGGTTCCATGTTGTCTATGAGTTACGGGTTCTGTGGAGAGAGAGTTCTATGTTGTCTATGTGTTATTGGTTCTGTGGACAGAGGGTTTCCTGTTGTCTATGAGTTACTGGTTCTGTGGACAGAGGGTTCCATGTTGTCTATGAGTTACGGGTTCTGTGGAGAGAGGGTTTCATGTTGTCTATGCGTTACTGGTTCTGTGGAGAGAGGGTTCCATGTTGTCTATGAGTTACTGGTTCTCTTGGAGAGAGAGTTCCATGTTGTCTATGTGTTATTGGTTCTGTGGACAGAGGGTTTCCTGTTGTCTATGAGTTACTGGTTCTGTGGACAGAGGGTTCCATGTTATCTATGAGTTATTGGTTCTGTGGAGAGAGAGTTCTATGTTGCCTATGAGTTATTGGTTCTGTGAAGAGAGGGTTCTAAGTTGCCTATGAGTTACTGATTCTGTGGAGAGAGGGTTCCATGTTGTCTATGAGTTACTGGTTCTGTGGAGAGAGGGTTCCATGTTGTCTATGAGTTACGGGTTCTGTGGAGAGAGGGTTCCATGTTGTCTATGAGTTACGGGTTCTGTGGAGAGAGGGTTCCATGTTGTCTATGAGTTACTGGTTCTGTGGAGAGAGAGTTCCATGTTGTCTATGAGTTATTGGTTCTGTGGAGAGAGAGTTCTAAGTTGTCTATGAGTTATTGGTTCTGTGGACAGAGGGTTTCCTGTTGTCTATGAGTTATTGGTTCTGTGGAGAGAGAGTTCTATGTTGCCTATGAGTTATTGGTTCTGTGAAGAGAGGGTTCTAAGTTGTCTATGAGTTACTGGTTCTGTGGACAGAGGGTTCCATGTTGTCTATGAGTTACTGGTTCTGTGGACAGAGGGTGCCATGTTGTCTATGAGTTATTGGTTCTGTGGACAGAGGGTTCTAAGTTGTCTATGAGTTACTGGTTCTGTGGAGAGAGAGTTCCATGTTGTCTATGAGTTACTGGTTCTGTGGACAGAGGGTTCTAAGTTGTCTATGAGTTATTGGTTCTGTGGAGAGAGGGTTCTAAGTTGTCTCTGAGTTACTGGTTCTGTGGACAGAGGGTTCTAAGTTGTCTATGAGTTACTGGTTCTGTGGAGAGAGGGTTCCATGTTGTCTATGAGTTACTGGTTCTGTGGACAGAGGGTTCCATGTTATCTATGAGTTATTGGTCTGTGGAGAGAGGGTTCCATGTTGTCTATGAGTTACTGGTTCTGTGGAGAGAGAGTTCCATGTGGTCTATGAGTTATTGGTTCTGTGGAGAGAGGGTTCCATGTTGTCTATGAGTTACTGGTTCTCTTGGAGAGAGGGTTCCATGTTGTCTATGAGTTACTGGTTCTGTGGACAGAGGGTTCTAAGTTGTCTATGAGTTATTGGTTCTGTGGAGAGAGGGTTCTAAGTTGTCTTTGAGTTACTGGTTCTGTGGACAGAGGGTTCTAAGTTGTCTATGAGTTACTGGTTCTGTGGAGAGAGGGTTCCATGTTGTCTATGAGTTACTGGTTCTGTGGACAGAGGGTTCCATGTTATCTATGAGTTATTGGTTCTGTGGAGAGAGGGTTCCATGTTGTCTATGAGTTACTGGTTCTGTGGAGAGAGAGTTCCATGTTGTCTATGAGTTATTGGTTCTGTGGAGAGAGGGTTCCATGTTGTCTATGAGTTACTGGTTCTCTTGGAGAGAGGGTTCCATGTTGTCTGTGAGTTACTGGTTCTCTTGGAGAGAGGGTTCCATGTTGTCTATGAGTTACTGGTTCAGTTGAGAGTGCCTTGAATGATCCAGTATCACTGGTGGGAGAACAAATTCAACCAGTACTAGATTCTTTCTTCATTTCAAAGCAAGGGAATGTATTGGTGCGCCTCGCTCATTCGTATGTTATTGTAAGACAATTGTATATTTTCTTACTTTCTTTCTCTCTTCTATTAAAATGTAAGTTCCTTAAGTTTAGAGAACATGTGACCACTCATATACATATTGAGTTGACACTTGGTATATATGTGCATAATTGAAATGTGAAATTTCTTTCTGATATTAGGGGGGAAGTAAAATTTTAAAATACGCTAAAACTTTTTTTAAAAAACATTCCCAGATCCAGAATGTCTACATGGCTCAATATGAGAAAAAACTAAAGGGAAAAACACAGTCTATTATCTACGATGCTAATAGAAGAGGAGTGATTAATGAAATAGCTTTGATGCAATGTGAACAAAAAAGAAAAGTTGCTGAAGATAAACTGAATAATCTCCGTGTAAAACTCGCAGCATTTTTGCAGAAACTTCATCTGGTAAGTGATAAGATTTTGGTTGAGTAGTAGGAATACACTTTGTGGGACTCCTAACAGCTTCATCCACCTATTAACCTTGGACAAATCATTAACCTCGCCCTGCCTCTCCCTGTAATTATATTGAAACCATAAGTAAGTGAACTTTGAAAGTATATGCTAGAACATTTTAAAAAGTCTGTTATTCTCTCTCTCAACAAAATCAGAGTCTTGGCTTCTGCTGTTGGTATAGTTTGATTCCCCTCAGTCTCCTCAATAGCATGTTTCTAGTTGGGAAATTTTTCTAATTTTTTTCAGACAGCAAACTATGCTCATTTATTTTTATCTTAATACATAGATAAAAATGGACTCTTTCAATCTTGTAGGCTAGGAAACATCATGTAAATATGGTTATTTCCCATCTTGTTTGTGTGTGTGTTTCTTTAATGCATGAAGAAGAGGTCTTCTATGAGGTTGAGCTAGTAAGGATTATAGCTCATCTGCTATTATAGCACATAGAAGTGTTAAGGAAAATACGGTAAAAAATAAAATAAAATATATATATAGCCAAGGTTGAAAACTCTTTCTGTAAATGCTAGAAATAAGTTGAGAAATCAACAGTGAGCCTAGGAAGCTCATGAAATTTTGCTCAGGATAGACCCTACTCTGGGACAGAGACAGGGCCTTCCTGCCACGCAAGATGAGAGGGTGGGAGCTGTCCCCACAGAGAGTTCTGACGGGAGGGTCGGAGGCTTGTCTTGCCCATGCCCAGGTTTGGGGAGAGATACAGACTTTGAAGCCAGACTACCTGGGTTTCAGTCCTGCTGGGAACACTTCAAGCTGAAAATCCATTCCTCCTTCAAAAACTATACAGATTTTGGTGTCTCTGGGATTCCTCTATATTCATTACAAAATAAAATGCAGAATATATTTTTGCTTGATTGAAGTATATAGCCAAAAGAGAAGACCTCCCTTCCCCCTTGGGGTCTAGACAACAGTTAAAATGTGTCATTATTAAAACATAAAAGATTAATACAACCTGTTTTCACATACTGGTAATTATGTGCTTCTCTCGACAAGACTAAATAAGCCTCTTCAAGTTTACTTGTTGCTGAAAGAGTGGGATATGAGTGGGGTTCCTTTTGGTTCTTGTGGCTGTAAAAGGTGGGAAATGTTTCTGTGTGTAAAAGGCCTAATACAAAGCCTGGCATATGGTAAAGTTTTAGTGATAACAGTTGTGTCACTAACAAGAAAAACTAGAGAGACCAAAGAAATTCTATGTCATAGAAATTGAATAGCACACTTTATCTGAAAAGTTCATAAAAACTGTTTGTTTTTAGAATAGCAAATCATGTTTGGCTAGGAAAAAAAAAAGAAAGAAAGAGTAATAATATGCTCTTCTATGCCAAGCCCCTGGGCTCTCCCTGAAAATAGTCAAGGTAATTATACTAATTTAATTTGCTGTATTCACAAAGTTTGGTAAGGAGGTGAAGGTCTTTATTCAGCAGAGTATGAAACACTATCTGGTATCACTGGAGAGGCACTCAAAGGGTCTCTGCCCAAATATGTTTACTCTCATCCCCCACTTGAAATTTCTATTTTTACTGTGTCCACTTGCAAGAGCAATTGCAGGGTACTCGAGCAGAGACTCGATGTAGGTAGACCCAGGGGACTCGAGCAGAGACTCGATGTAGGTAGACCCAGGGGACTCGAGCAGAGACTCGATGTAGGTAGACCCCGGGGACTTGAGCAGAGACTGGATGTAGGTAGACCCAGGGGACTCGAGCAGAGACTGGATGTAGGTAGACCCAGGGGACTCGAGCAGAGACTGGATGCAGGTAGACCCAGGGGACTCGAGCAGAGACTCGATGTAGGTAGACCCAGGGGACTCGAGCAGAGACTCGATGTAGGTAGACCCCGGGGACTCGAGCAGAGACTCGATGTAGGTAGACCCAGGAGACTCGAGCAGAGACTCGATGTAGGTAGACCCAGGGGACTCGAGCAGAGACTCGATGTAGGTAGACCCAGGGGACTCGAGCAGAGACTGGATGTAGGTAGACCCAGGGGACTCGAGCAGAGACTCGATGTAGGTAGACCCAGGAGACTCGAGCAGAGACTCGATGTAGGTAGACCCAGGGGACTCGAGCAGAGACTGGATGTAGGTAGACCCAGGGGACTCGAGCAGAGACTGGATGTAGGTAGACCCAGGGGACTCGAGCAGAGACTCGATGTAGGTAGACCCAGGAGACTCGAGCAGAGACTCGATGTAGGTAGACCCAGGGGACTCGAGCAGAGACTGGATGTAGGTAGACCCAGGAGACTCGAGCAGAGACTCGATGTAGGTAGACCCAGGGGACTCGAGCAGAGACTGGATGTAGGTAGACCCAGGGGACTCGAGCAGAGACTGGATGTAGGTAGACCCAGGGGACTCGAGCAGAGACTGGATGTAGGTAGACCCCGGGGACTCGAGCAGAGACTCGATGTAGGTAGACAACAACACAGGTGCAGCAGGCCCAGGAAGAAGCTGGGAATCACCTGAAGTCCTAGGGGGAAGTCTAGTCTGCCAGGTAGAGAGCTGTATTTGAAGGACGGAATTGGTTCAAGTAGGCCATGAGTGGTCCTTGTCAGAAAGGGTCACACCAGGTATCCCTCAGGGTCCATGGTATTTAGAAATTTAGATGAATATCAGTATTGTGGAAACCTGTCGTCAGGAACAGGATCCCAGGCACACAGCTGGGGTGTAACCCAATTCAGCCTTGTGAGAGGTCAGAGCAGATCTAGGGCAGAGGGAGCAAAGTGGAAGCACCTTTAATGGAACCAGATAGGGATGGAGAAACTAGGATGGTGGAACCAGATACTTACTGAGAACCATAATAAAATTGGGATTGTTTCAGTAAGGTCCTTCCTACAATGTCTCCTTTTCATCAGCTCATTTGGAGAGTAGGTTGATCCTGTGGTTGAGCCTGAGGGGAGTAGGACTGAGGTCAGTAAAAAGGAGCATTTGTCCAGCTGTTCATGGATTCGGAAGCCCAAGGGAGAGCATGAAATTAACCCAGAAATCTCGGGGGGTGGGGGTGGGAGAGAGAAAAGGGAGTAGATGGGAGCAGATGCAGACAGAAGCCAAGGGTTTTGGGAAATGATGCTGCGGAGGAAAGAAGAGAAACAGGAGTCGGAATGTCCAGCCAGTGAGGGTCAGTGGTTGAGCTCGACCCATGGACCAAGATGTCGCCAATTCCCAGTCAGGGCACATGCCCAGGTTGTGGGCCTGATCCCCAGTGGGGAGCATGCAGGAGGAGGCCAATCTATGTTCTGTCTCATTGATGTTTCTATCTCTCTCTCCTCACTTCTCTCTCTAAAAAAAATTTTTAAAAAAATTATTTTAAATGTCCTACTCATCAGTTTTTCCTGTAAGGCTAAAGAGGCTTGAATTTTAAAAATGGAAGATGAGAGCCTATAACAGAGAAAGATGAGATGAGGATGGAAGAGAGGCTATAGGAATATGACAAGTAATTAAGTAGAAGGAAAAAAAAAAACACCAGTTACATTAACCTCCACTAAAGAAGAAAAAATGATCCAACTTTCGTTAGAATCTCACGTTAGATCTTTGTTAGAATCGCTTGCAAGCATAACATGAGCTGAAATGGGAAAACATTTTGAAAGGTTAAAAGCATTCTTCAAATGCAGGGCAGCTTGTGTTGTTACGGGAAACAGAGAGAAGACTGTTCAGAGGCCCCCCAGACGATAGGAATAAACCCTGTAACTTCTTTCCCTGCTGCGAGTGTTGGTTTTCTCTTCCAGGGAGGTCCAGGAGGAGACCTGGAGCAAATGGACAGTTATGTAGAAGCTTTGCTGAAAGAAGATCATCTCCTCTTGGGGAGCATTTTGAAGAAAGGGGCTGCAGGCACAGGACCTAGTTTCCCTTTGGAGAGCAGTCCAAGTACTTCTCAACACTAAAAGTCGGAAAAGACATTTCCTTTAAAGAAAAAGCTAGTAAGAAAAAGGGAAGTTCTTTTCAAAAAGCATTTCCTCTTGTTATTGTGAAGGTCGTCCTGTTTGACACTAAGACAATTGTATACTTTGGAGATAGAGAGTGATTTACAGTCGACAGATTTCCCAGTCCTATTCCCTAACTCTCTCTTTAGTTCTGTAATTCCCACATGAGCAACTAAGGAAGTTGGAAATGTCATTTAGGCTTAACTGTTGATTTTATTTAAAAGACTGTAAAGACTGGAAAACCGTGGTTTTCAAAGTCAGTATACACAGGACTACAGAATTACCTCTTCTTGAAACTTGTGTTGAAAAAGACAGACATTGTGCCTTTTCTCCAATACGGCCAACACTCAGGAAGCAGAAAACACAAATCCTCAAAAGACTTTGAGTTGCAGTATATATGATGATATTCTTACTGAGTTGTTGTAAAAGAGCAAATCTTCTTCTAAGTATAAGGTGGACAGTACACAAATGGAAGAGTTGTGTTTTTACATTTTCTTTGTTAACTGATTCTTTTGAGTTTATTTAGAATTGTCTGTACCTTTGGACAAAAACAATAAACATTTAATATTTATTTGTGGAATTGTATAATTTTAATTGTATATACATGCACAAAGTAGGAAATCCAGAACGTGTGATGTGGAATAGAAGCTAAGTCTTCACCCCTTGCCTGTCTTGAATGATTTAGTTACTCTCCTCAAGAGGCATGCTTATACCAGATCCTCCTGAATCCATTCAAGTCAATGGATTCTCTTGTTATTCTCTTGTCAATGGATCTTTACATTTCCCCATTCTTTTGGATTTACACACACACAACAGTGAATATTCTTTTAAATATGTTCATTTCACATAGGTGCAATTGTATCTGTTAAATGAATCTCAGAAGATGAATTGCTAGGTCAAAGGGCATGCACATTTTATTATTAACCAATATTGCCTAATAGCACTCCCTAAAAAGTTTATTAATATACAGCCCACATCAATGTATGAGTGTTTTTCCTGTTTCCTCACACCTTCACCTACCTAGTGAATTATCAATCTTTCTAGCTGATCAAATAGGGTATAAAGTGGTATATCCTTGTAGCTTTCACATATATTTTTTGTATCATAAGTAAGGTTGAGAATCTTGTAGTGTTTGAAATTCATTTGAATTTTTAAATTGAGCCTTTGTTCTTTTTCGATTGGGTGGCACTTTCTTACAGGTTTATAGGAACTATTTTCATATTAGGGACATTACCTTTTTTATATTATATATATTACAAACATTTGCTCATAGTTTTTCATTTAAAAAAATGTATGGTAGTTTTAGTCATACTATAGGATTTAAAAAATTTTTGGTTTAATTTTCTTTTGTTTTTGGCTTCTGGGCTTTATAGTCATATTTAGAGAGGGCTTTCCAATGCTAAACATAGAAAGTAATTTTACTTTGTTTTCTTATAACAGTTTTAATAATTATAGTGTTAAATCTTTGATTCAGCTAGAATTTATTTTGGAGTAAGGAGTAAGTTAAAAATCCAACTTGTGTGTGTTTCCAGAGAATCACAGTGTTATCCCAAAATTATTAATTAAATAATCAATCTTTTCCCCCACTGATCTGCAAGCCACCTTTATTGCATGTTAAATTCCTATTTACTTTGGGCCAAGTTCTAAAAAGCAAATTTCTATCATTTTTCATTGATTGTCCCATCTTTTCTTATGTCAGACCCATGTTGTTTGGGTAGGCTGGTCGGTAATTTTGTATCTCATAATTTTCCTGTGTCTGCTTGCATGTTTAATTCTCATTCAAACTTAGATTTAGTATTTTTAGTCACCACCCACCCTCAGATTTTATCTGTATTTTGTTGGGTTTGTGGTGATATTATTAAGACAGAGAGAATTGCCTTTTCTTAATATCATGTCTTTCTACCCAAGACCAAAGAAAATATGCCTTTTTATATGTTCAAGTCTTCATTGGTGCCCCATATTAGCATTTAAAATATTTCTTCAACTACATCTAGCACATTCTAGTTATATTTATTGAAATTAATTAGATTTATGCTTTGACCTGTTACAAATGAAGCCTTTTTCCCATTTTTTTTTTTTTCTGCCATTATCTTATAACTGGTTAGTGTTCTGTATAGCAAGACTCCTGACTTGTAGATGTCAATGTTGTATCCAATATAAGAATTCTCATACTATTTGTAATAATTGTATAGTTTTTCCCCTGTAATCATTATGCAGATTTTTTTTCTTTTTAAGTTTGATCTGGATCTCACGTGCTTGAATTCTTGACTTACCCAAACTTTTTCTTCCACAAGAGATTTTCTTGGTCCCTAGAAAACTTTCATTACCTTTCTTTGTCATCATCACTATCAGTTCTGCCTTTAATCTAAAAATTGGTGATTAATAAATGCTAATGGTGATAAGAAGTCCGAGCCTCTGAACATCCTTCTGGCAGACATTTAGAAAGAGTCTGAAGAGGGACTTTCTAGAGAATTGGTTTTGAAGATTCTAACAGGATATTCCTCATCTTTCCTGACTGAATAAATCCCTAGGGCTGAGTCCTTAATAGCTCCTCTACTCTAATGGTTTCAAGTAATACTACCAAATGAGTGTTCCAGATTTCTATTACCTTATTGAGCACTTGTTATATAACTCTAATTATGAAATTAAAATTTGCTATTGAAGATCTATAATGGTATGTTTCAAACAAAACTAATCATATTCACCCTGACCATCATCACTTCCTGTCCAGACAGTTCAGTTAAGGCCCCCTTGGCTCCAGTTCTTGAGGAATCTGGGGGTTTTATACAGATAATCAAGAAGAAGAAATAGGGACAAAGGCAGAGATCAGATTTATGAACTGAGTCAATATGGGAATTGGGGGGAAATGTGGAGTAAGGTTAGGAGAGAAGAAGCATGCTTAGAAACACATGACCCTACCTGGAAGTAATGTAATTCTTTCACTCCTGAGTATGGCTGGTGGCCAGAAGGCTTGAGGACCACATGAGCAATTCATTTCTGTGACTGTGGCATAGATACAGCTCTTAAGCCCATTCATTCTGTTCTCAAGGCCACTGCAGTTGGCTCAGGCAGGATCAGCTTGGGAACTGGGGTGGGGTAGAGCCAGCAGGCAGCGGGCATGGGTAGATGCAGACTGGAGAGGCAGAAAAGACAAAACAGCTAAAGAAAAGGGGGGGGGGGGCAAGAACAATGCCAGAAGACACCTTGAAATATGTTCCTTTGTCTGCAAACCACACTTTTCCACCTCCTACAGCTTCTTTTACTAACAATATGGTTATCTCTTACTCATTTCCCTCTCCTATACATAGACTTCCTTTCAATTTAACAATACTCTGAATGTATAATTTCCCCATGGTTTTAAAAAATGTTCTTCAGCCCTGGCCAGTTTGGCTCAGCGGTTAGAGCGTCGGCCAGCAGTCCAGAGAGACCCGGGTTCGGTTCCCGCTAAGGGCGCATACCTCGGTTGCAGTTTGTCTCTGGCCCTGGTCAGTCGTGCGGGTGGCAGCCACTCGATGTGTCCCTTTCCATCGATGTTTTTCTCTCTCTGTTCCTCTCTCTCCCTCCCACTCTACCCGAACAAAAAAATGGAAAAATGTCCTCGGATGAGGATAAAAAAAACAAACAAAAAATGTTCTTCATCTAAGTTTATCTTCACAATATTTAGGTGTGGAAAGGCAATTAGTCTTGTTACTATTTTACTGTTAGGGAAACTGAGACTGGAGAACTTAAGTTATGTTTCAGTGTGGTTATTAAGTGGCAAACAAAGCCCAGAACCCAGGCTTCCCGATTGCAACTCAGAGTCTTTGTGTTAGGTCCCACTATGTGACTCTGTAATGTAGGCAGGATTTATGGCTAACAATACAGCATGGATTACCCGCTTGAAATCACTGCTTCTGCCCATCCCAGAAAACTGTATCTCTGAGGAGCAAGTTAGCACAGTCCCATCAGTGAGTGGTAAATGGCCTAGTCTTAAAACTGCACAGATGAGTTAATCTCACTGGCTTTCTGTTCTTATTTAGCCTGTAGCTGTAAGAGGTTTAAAGTAGCTTTCTAAGGGCATGTGTTAGCCTCGAGTTTAGTGAAGACTGAGGGACTAAATACAGACAGACCCTACCTGAAAACGACCCGAGAAAAAGCTGTAGACTGAGTCACGATGGGAAACAGCGAATGTCTGGCTGATGGCCTGACAGCAGTTCCTGCTAAAGAGACCCACGTGTGGTACAGAAAATTTATGACGGAATACCCCTCCGGCCTGCAAACACTGCATGAATTTAAGACACTCTTGGGTCTGCAAGGTCTGAATCAAAAGGCCAATCAACACGTTGACCAAGTCTATAATACCTTTGACATGAACAAGGTAAGAACTTTCACTTTTCACTGGGATATGGTTCTGCATTTTGCCTTTTTAAAAATATAAATTAGCCTGAGGTAAAACATGTGCATCCCACTGAAAGGGGAGGTCTTCAGAGAACCCCCAGCTTGTGGGTAAGTGAGTTATTAAACACATTTAGCACTGGCAGCATGAAAATAATTGGGAACTAGCCTCTCTGCCCTTGGAAATGTTCTGCATGTAGGGAGTTATTTTAAAACCAAATTAAATCTCGGCATGGAATGCTAATGCTATCGTTTAAACAAATCTAATAACAGCAGATTGATTTACAAAGACTGTTTTCAAAGTGTTTAGTGCAATGGTGACATTTTATAGAAAAGCAAATTACAGAAATCTGCTTTTTAAAGTGTGATTGCATCTAGATTGGCAGATAAAATCAATACAAATTAGCCAACATATTGTTTGTGCTCAAATCAAAAGTTGGAATGCTTCATAATACATTTCCCCCCCTATATCTGACACATTTAATTTGGGGGGAAAACAAAACTATTTCCTTACCGTTTTAAATTCAGATAAATTTTAGTTTCTAAAGATTGTCAGCTATTTGTTCTGAATGTACTCACTCCTGAGG